ATTGCTATACACAAAAAAACTATCTAATTTAAGTTGCAATACTTTGCATCTTAAAGAGCTCTCCTCTAACTCTCCTCCGGCCCTAATCCTGAATTTAACATTTAAATTTACTTGGCCACCCAACCTTAATTTTCAAATTTTAAAAGTAAAATTTTATAAAAATATATTTGGTATTGAACACTGATGTAAAGTCTAGATATTAAAAGTTATATGAATACTCTTGATATTTTTAATAGATTTGATATATATATGTTATAAGTGGAATTTATATGAATTCGAATTTCTTAAAATTTTAGAATTAAGATATAGATTTATTATTAAAAAATTCTCCCTTAAATTATAATTTTACTAAGAAAATCTAAATCCAATTAAATTCCGATCTTAAAACATATATAAACGTCTTAAATAATTTGAATATCTCGAATATGATCAAATTCTTTTTTTTTATTATTTAAATTTGTGAAGAAAATTTAAACCAAATCTATACTCTGCAGATGAAAATAAACTCACATCATTACTGAATTATTTTTATGAATAGATATGTTTATATGCGCCAACGCCACTAATGTGATCATATTACGGTGTGATTTTAAATGGAACAATCAAATTGTCGATAGATACGACAATTGTAGTAACTTCATAACTACTGAAGTAAGGAACCTTGGTGACCGCAGAGATTACTGTCGGATATTCAAGGCTAATAATGTAAAAGGGTATACAGATCCTGCAAAGCCAATTTTTGGTCTTCTTAAAATTGGTTTCTATTACCAAATACCAAACATAACTGCTGCAGAAGAAACATCGCTAGGAATAGCTTCAATTACAGTTCAGTTATCTGCCCGAGGTCAGTAAAATTGTTAATATTTTGAATTTTTATATTACCCAATTTCTGACTATGTTTAAAAATAGGCTTTAATCCATTATTATATCCTAATCAGAATAAAGATAATATAGATGAAGCAATCAAATCACATTTGATGCTTCAACGTAATTTCATTCCAGCAATGGCTGGTTACTGTGGTTAGACATCTTTATTGCTTATTATTAATTTCAATAATTTATCAATGTTATTTTTAATAAATTTATATTAATCTTTTGTGGTTTAGGCCCGATTTAGAATGAAACTTTATAAGTCTATTATTCCGATGAGTTTTGGCATTTTTTCAGGTTTGGAGACCAGTTATAATGAGGCACCATTTCTCGAAAGCGAAGTCAGCCAATTCCCGCTGAACAAGAATCCTTATAATATGCCTGTTGGTACAACTGGTTATTTTTCCGTGGCTGCGCAAAGCTTTATCCAAGAACAAACGGTTGAACAGAGGTAAATAAATTTCTCTTTTTTTTTCTTCTTTTTTTAAGGTACTATTATAATTTCTAAATTATTTGTAAATATATTTAGAACTACTACTATTCTTAGCATTATTTCAGCGGCTGGTGGCTTTTTTGGTCAGTAGGTTTAATTTTTTGCTTAAATCTTGCATAAATTAACAATTACAAACTCATTGTTCTTTATTAATTACTGAATAATAGGTGCTGTTACAGTTGCTTATTCATTTTGGTATGGGGAATCACCATTAGACCCATGGGGTCTAATTAGTAAGTTGCCTTGGATTAATATAGCTATAAAATGTGATAATATAGATATTAATTGTGAGAATGGTCAATGCGAATGCATTAAAGAGAAGTTTTCTGAAGTAATTAGCTACTACTGGTATATACCAAAAGCAATCAAGGAAAGAAGGCGAGAATCTGATTCTTCTACGGCTAGAATCAGTATCATGTGACTTTTATAACTATTTAAACTAAAAAATGATTATTAATTAATCATATTGATTAATATAATAATAAAAATATTATTTTATAAATTAATTAGTTCTTATATTATTCCAAAAAGATTCTGATCTTAAATCCTTGTCCAAATAAACCCGTTATTAGGCCTGATAAGTTATTATTATGTGAAAGCATTTCCAGTACTTTATTCTACACTATAATTTCGCATGGTCCAATGAACGTTAATGCATTTTGTCTTCTAAGCAAAGTCCATGAGGTGTAAGATTTTTTTAAGATTCTTTGAGTATTAAATATTAACAAACTGGAAATAACTTCAGTGGCGATTTTTATTAGTGAAACGTTCAGTTCTAAAAAAGCGGTTTAAAAATAAATAAGTTACTTGGGGAATTGATTTACACCAGTCAATCAAATGAATTTCTTTCTATGAACTTTTCACAGCCATAAATTGCATTAATAATCTGACGAACTCCTTTTTTAATACAAATATTCTGTTAACTTTCACTTCAACGTTAAATTATCGAACAATAACATTTATTATAATTGTTTTTACACTTAGTTGTTCTCAAGCACTTTATTCGACGAATTCGAAACAAAAATCTAATTATATTGTAGGTATGTAACAATAATTAAGTTAACAGATCAATTTGGCTGGTTAGCAAAAAGGGAAAGGATCTCATTTCCACGACAACCATTTACTACAGCCATTTAGCCGACATCACATAGGGTTAGAGTTAGCATTATCACCCGCGTAATGTCAGTTTGATGGCTTTTAGGTTAATTTGCTGTCACAAAATAAGGTTTTCCATAAAAAAAGTTATATAAGATATATGAATACTCTGGCAATTGTTTAATTCAGTGTGGAATGCACGAAGACGGTTTTATATTCATTACACAACAACTCTACTTGAAATTAAAATGGGTGTAGCTTTAGAACCAAGTTACCTATTGGTGCTTGAGATGAGTAAAGTTAAAATAGCAAATGCACTTAAATTAAAATTATTGGTTTATATAAATGACACCAAAGAAAAACTATTGTCTTTAAATTTATAACTTGCTGGATTCAATTCTTCAGATTTTGGTAATGATTCAGTTCGATAAGTTATAAACTTAAAAGCCAAAGTCTGGTTTTCCTTGGCATTACTTACATGTAGCTAAATCAGAAACACTAAATATCTAATTTCAATAAACTAATGAACCTTGTTATTACGCTTCAACGCCAAACTTGGAACGATATTTGTTAATTTCACAATCATTCTACACTTATACAGCGATCCCTACTATTGTGCTTCAGTGTTGCCGGTTTTCCATTAGAATATGATCTAGTTAATCGTTAAGGAAATGCAGAAGTATGGAGTGTAGTATTTTTCTTTTTTATTCAACGTCAAACCTATAATTTCTTGCCATAAAAGCTCGCTTAACATATATGAATAATCAAATAGTTATTTAATTTAACAAGAAATACACGAATAACTTAACATTTTAATTGCATTATGTTCATTTTAATCTGACACATAAGTGAGAAATGGGTTTGACGCATCTTATTTTCAAATTCACGCCTCTTCTAATTTGATTCACGACATGTTGGGGAATTTTTTTTCAAATTTAGTGATTAAGGACTTTATATATGTATTTTAATAGTAAAGAATGAGGACTTGTTTTAGATGTTTAGCGCGAATCGCTTTACTTTTTTCAA